ACTAATACTTGTTCGGTGCGCCTGTGCCCATCCTTGTCTTTCCTCGTCTTCACGACAACTTAATCAGATGTATGTCAGTGCTCGTACGTTGTTCGCTCTGAATTTAAAATGAGATGCTTTTTATAAAACTCATCAAAGTGTGAACATTAAATAGTGATGTAAATATCTCCCCTCTGTCTCTGCTTATTGCACGTCTAACCGCAGTGATTTGCTTTTATTATTATTATTTTTTTTTAATCTAGAAGTGATTTAGAAAATTTAATTATTGATGAAAAAGCCATTTTCAGGAGCAGATCTCCAAGTTTCATAATGTTTTTTTCAAAAAAAGTTTTTTTTCTTTTCTTGTAAGACGTATTTTTTTTTGTTTGACTATAATTTATTTGCAGCACAATTTATCTCAACTTCACTATTCCTAAAGATGTTTTTTTTTTTAAATGTTCGTAAAATATGATCCCTACAGGTTTGTAAAATTAACTTATCGTTTTCTCAGAAAACATTGTCTTTTATTCCAGCTCTGTAATGTTCAGAGTCACAGGGGAGCTTCTGCTCTCACCAACATAAAGACCGTAACTCATATTCAGAAAAAGTTCAACATGCCATTTTCTACACGTTTATTTTCCATAATGATGCTACACATACTGTATGTAATATGAATACGAGCCACACTTTTACTTTAGCATGAAGATCCCATAACATGGGGCGGCTGTGGCTGAGCGGTTAGAGCAGTCGTCCTCCAATGCAAGAGCTGGGGGTTCGAATCCACCAGCAGTCACATGCCCAAGTGTCTCTGGGCAAGACAGTGAACCCCTCATTGCCTCTGATGTGTGTCCCATCGGTGTATGAATGTGATAAAGCACTGATTAGTCTCTTTAGAATGATTTGTTCAATTAGCTTTGTATAGATATACTGTAGTAGAGTGCTGTATGAATGGGTAAATGAGGACACAGAGTGAAGTGTAAAGTGCTTTGAGTGTCTTGATAAGATAGAAATGTGCAATATAAGTACAGTCCATTTACATTTCCAGCATTATATTATATTTTATGGTTTGTTTAACATTTGCTGGTCCTAGATTTATTTGTCAGTAGTTAGAATTTAATAAATTGCATCATAATAAAAAGATAAATAGAACCTCAAATTGTCTTAGAGTTTCTCTCTTAGTGTCATTCTGTTTTGGTTTTGCTGGAAGGGAAGAATCCATGTTTATTGTTACTTATTCAAAAATAGATCCAGACTGCAAGACTTTCTGAACTTGAGCGCGGCTATCTAAAAAAAGCAAATCTGAAGTATATATTTCCTTCTAAATACTTGTTGATGTCAGTACAAACAGAAAAGTTGCAAATGTGATGTCACATAAGAAAACCTTAAATGACAAATACGTTTGATTACAAAAACTCCACTTTCATGTACAGTTTAGAGTTCAAGTTTTTGACCTGTGATAAAAATAAAAAAAAAATCCAACAAAGATGTAATTGTCAGGTTGAGTTATTGTTTCTCAAAGCTCTCCCCTTCCCCGTTCCTTTGCCTTTCATCTCTCTCCTCCCGACACCTTCTCTCTGCTCTTTCTGTTGTTTGGTCTCCTCTTGTCACTCCACTGCAATCATCCTCGCAGGGGGTCTTGTCATCTGTATCTACTCATATCCTACAATCCTTTCTGCGCTGAGCACTACTGCACTTAAATGTCAGGGCTGATGAGCCTGCCACACCCACCTGACACATCAGCTCAGCGCCTGCTAAAAGCTTTTATAGAGTGTGAGCCCGGTGGTTGATATAAATTAAGGAGTTTCTTTATCTTTTTTTTTTCTGCAGGGGGTTGAAGAGGATTATAGCTGTAAACGGACTACTTGTTCTAAGCAGAAGATAGAGAGAGAGATAAGAGAGTAGAAGTATAGGCTATGACTGGTTGCCATCTAGTGGCTGGTTCGTCTCTACTGTCCAGCTGTGCTGTAGGGTTTGATGGAGTCTGTTTAGTACTGGTAATGATCAAAAATAAATCAGCTAATACTAATTCCATTTACCTTTTTGAACATTCAAAGCAACTAATAGGAGAAAATATAAATTCTCATTGACTGGACTGCAAGACTACACTTATTTTATGAAGCTGTGCACTTTACATAGGATATGTGCTGTCACTAGTCATAATGTTATGGCTAACTGAGATTATAGATTGAGACTCATGTTTCCCTAATCAGGATTATCAGTGTGAAAAAAAAAAAAAAAAACTCATTGTAATGCCACTTGATTGTTGTGTGTTGCTGACTATCCATGCTGCTGATCTTATGCTGCTGATTTATTTCATGCTGCTGTGTTCATTCGTGCTCATCTGCTCACACAGACTCATGTTCGTGCTGCTGCTGTTCGGTGTATTGTTTTTGTACTACTAGTGTTTAGCATATTAGTACATTTCTTAGTTTAGATCTTAGATCTTATTACTGTTTTTTTCCCTTTACAATTTATACTTTTCTTGGATGTAACTGGGACACTGAGTACACAATTTTGTTCCACATGTATCACATGTGGCATGAATTACAATAAAGAACCTTGACCTTGACTAAGATGCTGTAATATCCTAACGCTTTGGCACTGTGCAAAAACAATGTGTTTTAGTTTTAAATATACATTTTTTTTTAACCTGTGTTGAATCCTTTGTCTTCATGAAGTGCTCAAAAAACAAGGTTTTACTTTACTGCTTTGATTCATTCTCCTCAGCATTTTTTGTAATTGATATAGAACAAATTGAAATATTTTGTACTAAAATGGCCTGTGCGTATATATTTGGGTTTAATTTGAACCAGTTAAGCTTTTCTAGAAAGTTCCTTGAACTAACTTTTTTTTAAACAAATTGAACCAGTCATGTAGGGAAAGTGCAGTAAACTTTAACAGTAAAGATCATTGTGCATGTTTAGTCTCTTACACTCTCAATAAAATAGGACAGAGTTGCTATAAGTCATAATCAACACAATCTGCTGGCTTTAGAGAGAAATATTTTATCATGGATATTTTTGTACAGTGCCCAGAGACGACTTTTCTTATGACTTGGCACAATTTAAATAATCTATATTGAACTGAATTAGCAACGTCTGTACATAAAAAATAAAAAAATTAAAAAAATCAGTTGAGTTGACTTTACATTTGATTTGTCTGTATGTGCAAAGGCAAACAATTTAAAATTCACTCATATATGTGGCAGTTTAATGCACCAGTTTTCTTTATTTGTAAAACTTTGTCATTTTAGTCAGGCTTTTCAGTGACTGGCCAAGATGTGCATTCTAAACCATGGATTGCACAACACATGTTATTATTCACAGTCTTGGAAAGTGAACAGATACAGAATATACAACACTCCAAGCTGCCAGTGTTCGTAAAGCTACTGTATATACAGAATCTGACCTCATCCGTTTTGGTACAGAGTGACATATATACATTTTTAATTAGCAAACAATATGTACAGCTTTGTGTCTGAGATATGTAACACAGAAATTTACAGCTTAAAAATTGCATCAGTCCCAGCTACAGTTGTGCAACGCAACAAAACACATAAAATCTTTGCATTAGTAAATATAATATGAACACAATCATTCAGCATCTGCTACACATCTATTAAAAGGTTTGTGTAAAATGAAGAACACAGTGGTGAACACTAAAGGTATAACTCAACAAAAGTGCTACACATATCTGCATTTTAGAGTACATACTTAGCCTCATATTTTGTTTGTACATCTTATTAAGTACTACCAGGGGACAGTAACAGACAGGATAATGAAACTTTTAACAGTGGTTTTCATCCAATTCGGCTCTCAAACACTAATTAAAAAAACAGATGCCTACTGGGAACCTAAAGGCCACAATAGAATGGGAATAATATAATATATAGACTTCAGAGTTTGCAAAAGAGAAACATTTACAATAAGAGAAGGAGAAAAAAAACCTAACTAGTCTCAAGTGTTCTCACTGTTTGAAAGAGAAACAATGTTTGAAATATGTTATGACGATCTAATATGAGTACCTTTCTGCTTCCTCAGGTCTGAGACATGCAGTTTATACATTTAACATTAAAAAGAGTGGAAGACTGTAATTATGCAAGACAGCAATACACACAATAAAATCAAATGCTAAAATGGGGAAAAAGAAAGGAGCTGGTGTCTTAAGTTAGAAATAAATGCCTTCCGTAGAATATTTACATTTTATTTACATCAGCATTTCTAACTGCTCAATTCAAAGAATTGAATGAAGTAAAATTAACGTGTATGTGTTTATTAATATGGCGGCATGGTGGCGCAGTTGGTAGAGCTGCCGCCTCTCAGAGACAAGGTTGCTGGATTGAATCCCAGCAGGGGGGGCCTTTCTGGGTGGAGTTAGCATGTTGTCTCCGTGCATGCATAGCTTTTCTCCCACAGACCAAAAACATGCATGTTAGGCTGATTGGTAACTCTAAATTGTCCCTAGGTGTAAGTGAGAGAGTGAATGGTTGTCTCGTTTGTCTCTATGTGTCCCTGTGATGGACTGAGACCTGTCCAGGGTGTCCCCCACCTCTCGCACAGTGACTGACATGGGCACCAGTGACCCCCACATCCCAGAAAGGAAGATACAGGTAAAGATGTGTGTATTAACATATGATTAATGTGTAATTATTGTGTTAGCTGGTATGACTGGCTGTTCACAAACATTTGTTGGCATCATATATATTCTATATACAGATAAAAAATAGAAGCCTTATGGCACAGATTTCTCTTCTGATTTTAGTTTTTTGCTCTCACTTCATTGCAGACACCATATAGCTCAAGGCAGGTAGCAGCTTATATTGCACAGTGTTTATTGCACAAACGTCTTCCCACACGGACGACTAAACTGAAGTATGTGTTCGCTTTGAGTAACATTTATTGGGTAGCCAAATTCATACAGGAAGAAGAATCAAAAACAGAATTTGGTGTAACTAACAGGAGCCAAAGACAACTGTCAGTCTAAGTATGAAATGTCTGCAGGACCCTAAGGATCAAGGCATCTGCATGTTAACATTAAACCCTCGTCACTGTGATCACGTTTAGCTTTTCTATGAAAACACATAAAATGGGTTTTACATTACAGAAACATTTGAGTTGATGTTTTTTAAAAGTACAACATTCACACTAAAACAGATAGAACTGAAGCCAAACTTGATGCCAGTGCCGGGGGGGTTGTTTAAAGTCAGTTATTTGGCATGGTTTATGCTTTTCAAAGAAAAATCAATTTGAAATTAGCTAAGTTTTTTTGGCATTTCCTCACAGATTACAGAGTTTATTCCCTTTCTTTGGGTTCCGTGGAGCTGTTTGAACTCCCCAGCTTTTTCAGGCCTCTTCTCTGAGCCAGGCTGGAGGAGTGAACTGGTTCCAGGACTGGAGCAGGAGCACAGCGCTTCAGAGCAGTGTAGGTGGCGGACAGCGCCCCCTGCAGGCAAAACAACAGCACTGCATTGACACATTCATCAAAACCAGGGGTCTGCAAACTGCGGCTCTTGGGCCACATGTGGCTCTTTGGTCCTTGGTCTGCGGCTACTTGAAGCTTTGACCAAACATAATGCAAAATGTAAAGACACTGGTTTTTATACCCACAGTAAAGATAAATGACAAGTTTTAGCAGTTTTTTTTCTGCAATTTTTTTAATGAAATTAAAGAAAACAATGATGATTAGCTTCGGCTGCCTAATTTACCCAACATCCAGCCTTAAAGTGGAATCATTCTCTCAAATCCACCAGAAAGCCTTGGTGAATACATGATAGATAGATAGATAGATAGATAGATAGATAGATAGATAGATAGATAGATAGATAGATAGATAGATAGATAGATAGATAGATAGATAGATAGATAGATAGATAGATAGATAGATAGATAGATAGATGGATGGATAGATGGATAGATGGATAGATAGATAGATAGATAGATAGATAGATGGATGGATGGATGGATGGATGGATGGATGGATGGATGGATGGATGGATGGATGGATGGATGGATGGATAGATAGATAGATAGATAGATAGATAGATAGATGGATGGATGGATGGATGGATGGATGGGTAGGTAGGTAGGTAGGTAGGTAGGTAGGTAGGTAGGTAGGTCGGTAGATAGAGATCTAATCAAAGTTAATTACTAAAGTTGTTTTGGAATTAAAAATTTAATGTCACATTGACATATCCAACAAAATTGCCCAATATTCAGACAAATAAAGATAATATTTAAATTTATGCTTCATTACTTTAAAGTAGGATACAATTTTTTTTTTTTTTTTTTTTTAAAAATTAAAAAAAAAAATCAAAAACCTGCAGAGTTCAGGGTTAGAATTAATTTGGTAAAATTGGTATGGACTTTCCCCCCCCTTGTTTACATGAATGCAGTCTTTTCCTTAGCCCTAAAATATAAACATTTAATTAAATGCTGCTGATACACTGGGATTTCCCATCCGTGGGGCAATAAAGGCTGTTTCTATTCTATTCTATTCTATTCTATTCTATTCTATTCTATTCTATTCTATTCTATTCTATTCTATTCTAAATGTTAAAATTAATTAAATAATTTTTTGTTTTATAAAGTCACCCTCAGTTGCTGGAAATAAATAAATAAAAATAAAATTACAAATTTTAAGTTGCCCCATGAGCCACCAGTTGATAATCACTGTTGTAGCAGGTTCTGTGGCTCTAGACACTTACTGCTTCTTAAGTGAAGGGTAGAAATGTCTCTTTTGATCTAAAAGGCTGCAGACCCCTGATCAAAACTAACTGAACGAGAGAGCAGGACTGCCATCTAATGGGCTCAAAGAAGAATAACTGTGTATCACTTTGTAGTACAGTACAAATATGAACTCTTCTAGGAACAAATCTAGATAACTGATTTATTCCATCCTCCAGAGCTCCTTGTACAAATAATCAAAATTATTTGACTTTATTCATACGTGTTTTTAGTAGCTAGTTTTTTTTTTTTTACCAATAACATTGAGCTGCAACTTACAAGAACATAAGTGACGTTATAGAAAAGCCATGTTTTATTTGTACTTAATCAACAAAATCTCAGTTTTTGAGTACATATATGTTGTCAGAGTATATACGGTGTGCAAAACATTATTTTTACTTGCTATCTGTTTCCTTCTGACATATTACTAAAAGATTTGAAGACAGATATACATTGAATGTAGGATGGAGTCATAATTGTACACAAAGCGTGAGTCTGACCTTGACAGTGAATGCATCCTGTCTGCTGAGACTCCTGTCAGAGAGCTGGTCCTTCTCTACAATCCAGGGGTGTCGAAGAACCTAAGAGGAGTGCAATAACTTGAATATGAATCCAAATCTATTCTCCCAACTATAATCTTTATAGGTGAAATGGTAATTTATAAATGATAAACAAACAATAAACAAAAGTAACTTTATGCAAACTCTGCATGAGGGGATGCTTTTTATGCCCAGTGTGTGTTTCCCTCATTTATTTTTGATACATTTAAAATGTTATGGGGTTTTTAATGATAAATTTTCCACACTCAAGGCTTGCATATATAACTGATCTATTAAGTTAACAGTCAACCTCTGCAAATCTCCATTTAAAGTGTGCTAATAGTAAACCACCCATCTAAACACAAACAAAAATGCTCCTATTTAAGTCCGCATGTGATAAAATACTATTTTAATTTCCACATTTGCTCTTATGCTTAAACCCTTTAAATTTGATCATAGCTGTGTATGTAACTATTAATGCCTATACATTAGTTTTGTATATGTACTTGATCATACAGTATACAGTGTTATATTTATATGAATAGAAACAGTAATATCATGATTTGTTCTCTTTGTGAAGCACTTCATCACAATGAAAAATAAATATTCAGATAAAACACTACCTGTGGTGCAGTAAGACGCTGGTGAGGGTCTACGTGGAGCATCTTTGTCACAATGTCCTGAAAAACATGACCAAACGGCATCAGCATCATCATGTTAGCAAAATAGAATGTCAGTCAGAAGACATTAAGGTGTCACCTTGGCAGCTTCTGACACCAAGTCCCAGTTCCCTCCTGTGATCGTGACTTTCCCACTTCCAATTTGAGCCAGAATCTCCTCCGCAGTGTCATTGGGACTACTGGCAAAGGGGCTGAAACTGGACAACAATTAAAAGTAACTATAGGTGTGATGAATATGTAAAAATGTCTATTGAAAATATGAACAATAGAGATGAAAAAAATGGAATTTATAATAAAAATAGCCAGAAATACTGATATGACATTAGTTAAATGTTATGTCTTCACTGTTGTTACTAGACTATTTAGAAGACTGCAGCTGTGATGTGATGATATTTCATAGTTTACTAACTGACAATGGAAAGTTTGATTGTTATGTTAAAATATCTGCTTTAAACTTTCAACTGACCCAGCAATCATTGTGTAGAGCAGGACGCCCAGGCTCCAGATGTCACAGGCTGCATCATAACCCTGCTTTCTCAAAACCTACACACAAACAACAGTCACATCTAATTATAATTCAAAGTTTTTCCAATATGTGTGTGAATGTTGGTGAGACAGTAATACCAGTCATTACTGTACCTCCGGAGCCATGAATGTGGCGGTGTAACATGGTGTCATCAGCAAGCCATTTTCAGCCCTGAGCTGTTTGGCGAAACTGAAATCGCAGATCCTGATGGATTCTGGGAGTCCACTGTCATCAGCATAGCGGATGTTACCAGGCTTCAGGTCTCGATGCACAACCTGACAAAACAAAAGACCACACCAGAGTGAAGGCTGTTGCAGTGGCAGGTCTGGAAAAGCCAGAAAGGATGCAGGATTTGAATATTTTATTGGGGAATGTTGACTTGTTCACCAGTATCTACATGTTTACAGATTATTCTCCATTCGTCTTACCCCTTGAGAGTGTAAATATTCCACAGTTTTGGTGAGTGTGCATATGATGTCTGATGCATCTCTTTCTGTAAAATTTGGTTGCGTCAGAACTCTGTCGAGCAGCTCATTTCCCCTCGGGACATCCAGGACTAAGAAAACATTCTGGCCATCATCAAACACCTTCAGGCAAAAGAAAACACACAGGAACGAGACACATTTTAAATGACCCTTCTACAAAAACCACGGCTCCCTAGTTTATCTTGTACATTATGGCAGTTTGTGTTATACTTACGTCCCTCAGGGTAATTATATTTGGATGCTGTCCATATCTTAGCAGAACCTCAATCTCTTCTGAAGGATCTTTCCTAGCTCTGTCAATAATCTGGTAACAAAAAGACAGAAACACCTTGAACAGCTTGTATACGAAACGGACACTGAATGTAAATATAGCTGGAACACATCTCACACAGTTTATTCTTGCTCAGCGTCAATCATAGGCATGTGACAGATTTTGTAAGAGTTTTGTATACAGGTTAAAATTTCATGAAAGGATATATATATATATA